ATTATATTGTCAGTTATATCGTTATCGCAAATTTTCAAATGTATATCGTGATAAATATTTTTGGTCATATCGCCCTGCTCTAGTTAGCAGTGGTTCTCCTTTTGAAAATGCCTACTTGATGCCAGATATGAGAGGAGAATGGCCAGAGTGCTTTGAGCTGACATGAAGGAAACAGTAACCCCAATCACCACTTTTTGCAAGCAAGGTTTTCAGCAGAGCATGTTTGAATGTTCAAGAAGTCGAACTCTAAAGCAGATGTGCTACGGCAGCAGAAGACCACACTGGGTGCCATTACTCCTCCCAAGGAGAGGAAACTGTGTCTACAATTTACACCTTCACACCAAAATTGGACAACAGAAGATTGGACAAATGCTGCCTGGTCTGATTAGTTTTAGTTTTTGCTGTTACATTTGGATGGTAAGGTTACAATTGAAAGCATGAATCCATCTTGCATTATATCAATGATCTCTATCTCTGGTGGTGGTGTAATGGTGTGAGGAATATTTTCTTGGCACACTTTTGGCCCCTTCGTACCTGACCATGCCTTGAAGACCATAGTGTGATCCACATGTGACACATAATACTAACTTGTATTAAGTGGTGTGAATTCTAGCCAACACAGCAAAGGTCTAGTTAATGATTTCCTTCTACAGCATAAATAAAAATGGATGGAAATCAAGTTGCAGTTCAACACATGTGACAGAACATACATGCAATAGTTCAACACAACAGTAAAGAAAATCCTTTTATTTCCACTAAAATTCCGAGTGACTTTCAACAGGTCTGGGTGAAGTGACATTTAGCATGCATAGCTCTACCTTGCTCACAGTAGTTGCCATGGAAACCTGGAGGGCAGGTGCAGCGTCCGTGGACGGGGTCACAGGAACCGCCATTAACACAAGAGCAGGTCTGATTGCAGCCGTCACCATAGAAACCAGCGGGGCACTCTGCAAACAAAAAAACAAAACAAAACAACAGAGACGTTTCATGTAAGGAGCGTGTTTTATTTTTGTGTCACAGGACAGCAATCAAACAATGTGTGAACATACATACACATTTAAACAAAATATAACACAAATGAAAAAAAAAAACAACGGTAAAGGTGCAGTGGGATGACCAACAGACCCACACGGGTGGGTAAAATGCCATATTTAATCAAACCATAACTCACCATTAGAGGCTGGTGTTGGTGAAAGTTAATGAGGTTGCGTATGTGTATAGAAGAACAAAAACATGTGTTTGCATTCTTGCGTATGTGTGACTAGATGAGGCTTTTGATTACCTTGGCTGCAGTTCTTTCCTCTCCAACCAGCATCACAGACACAGCCATCTGCAACACAGATGGAACAGACAGAAAGACATGAATCACAGAGGACAAACAATGAGTCAACAATCAGTGGGGAAAACAAGTTTGATCTTTCACTTATAATAATCCCCTCTAGGCAGGCTTGATATATAACTGTAAATACTGTGCTGCTCTACGCTTCCACCACTCAAGTCAAACTGCAGTTTGTATCCGATTCTGGAGTTTGGAGCATGTCTTTACACATTGAGCTGACAATCATTGTCAGCTAGAACTCACATCTGTTAACTGGAGTCATCTGACTTTTTAATTATGTTTGTGAAGTTTGGACTTCAGTTTTGAAATTCTACATTTTATTAGTCTGTTACTTTGCACTACTTAGCTGATATCCATGTCTGCGGATTTCAAAAGTACTGTTTATTGTGGCAGCTTGCCAACCAAGCTTACTAGTGTTTGCTGGTAACTTAGCACTCAACCCTCTTGTCCATATGTGGTGAACAACAC